ATTTACTTCATCTTTACAACTGCTTAAAATGAATAAAAACAAAGAAATATGTATAATCAACTTTTACGTGTAGACTGTGAACTGGATACTGTTTGTGAGGAAAGCAAAACCTGATCACGGATGTCGAAGTACGTTAGGAGTGTATTAGTTGCCCCGGGTTAAAAAAGTGCAGAACTCGATACAAAGTTGTCTGTTGTTGCTATTACACTAAAACAGTTGGATAACTGTCACTTCACATTTAAGAGAAGATGAAGTAAGCGTAATTGATTACAATTGGAATAATAATCTGTAACTAAGAGTCCATTAGGAGGAACTTAAATTAAAGAGTCATTGATAACGTGGTAGAATGAAGATTGAATGTACTCCATTGCTTATAATACAGAATTTAACTTAAAATTTGTGTACACCGTGTACAGCCTGGCCTTCGTTTCACGTAATTACAAAGCAGTGAAAAATGTCACGTTATATAGAAATGGACTTTTCCGTGCAAAAAAAGTACATTATATTTCTATCCCTCAGATGCTAAGCTTGAATTGTAGGCTTTTGTACCGTCTGAGCGAAACACAACCACCAAAATTACGCTTGTTTCTTCATTATGGACTTGATGCATATCCAGAACCAGATGGCTATTTCATATTATTGCCTTGAAAACTGTTATTATTAACATCGTGCAGATGCAATAACCATTTCGTCTGACAGTATTGTTCTGGGAGTGAATTTGTAGAAAAATTACATGCTGAAAATTCCTTACTGTTGTACAAATTGTTTGGAATAAAGCGATTACTATTATTATTATCATTGACATTACTTTGAAAAGGCCGTACACAGTGTTGACTGAAAAGTAATTTGGCAGCTGCTTCAACACTACGGTTCTAGTGCCAAAATCCTTTATCAACCTCATTCAACAGCTATATGATATGTCATATGATGAGGCTATATGCCAGCCAAGTAATTCATAACAGAAAGTTCAGTGATGTCTTTGAAGTGAAGACTGAAAACAGGAGTAGGGCAAGTCTGACACCTACTATCACCAATCATCTTCCTGATTGTGGTCAACTGGACTGAACTCGACTGGATCATGCAACAAACTATGAGGAAATAAGCATATGCTGTTTGACCGATGAAAACACCATAGAAGAAGATTTGGATTTCGCCAACGGTGATGATTCATGTCTAATGTCTTGTCACACGCACAAAGTCGAAGATGTACAGGTGAAAACCAACAAGTTAACGAAAAACGTGAGGCAGTGAAAATGTAACTTCAGGTGAACGTAGAGAAGATAGGGGTAGATGTGATGAAGATACCCAACCAAAAACAACAACAACAACAAGAACAACAACAGGTACCAATCATCATGAAGGGGAGAAATCTAAAGGAAGTATACTCTTTCACCCACATACCTACCTACCTACCTACCTACATGCCTACCTACCTAACTACCTGTAACTACCTAACCAGGCAGAATATTTTCAACTACAGGTGGCGGCACAGGCACACATGACGATGTCAAAGCCATCCAGGTTAGGGAAGACAACATGACTGACCTTCCTGCACTAATCTGAAATAATCAGTGTGGAGATCTACTGCACTCCACCGCACTCCTCTGCACCCAGCATAAAGCGTCAACAACATCCCGATTTCCAACACTAATTCAGTCAAGTCAAGTAAGTCAGTGCTTCTGTATGGTTCATGTGAAAGAAAACAGTATGCCGTTTATAAAGGGAAGAGTTCCACCGGTTTATTTCACGGCATAGTACTTTCTCTTTTTCCATTTTTGTTCGTTTTGGATGATTTACCTTATTCTACTGAAACTAATTTTGTCAAGTATGTTGATGATCTGACGTTTTCTATGCCACTTAGATTGTTCTCATTTAAATAGGGTCCTGTATGAAATTTGCCAGTGGTCTCTCTCAAATGGTCTTAAGCTAAACTCTTTTAAATTTCAGATCACTTCAGCCTCAGGCGTAAAGAAGACTTGTATGAACTTTTTAGGTTCCATTACTCAGGTTGTATCGACGGTACTGCTGTAGGAAGCAAATCGAGTGCTAACTATCTTGGATTGAGTTTTACGACTGATTTTTGTTGGTCATCTCATATCTTCTTAACTTTCAAGAAGGTTGTTCGTTTAACTTATTACATAAGGAGACTGAGACTCTCTGCGATAATACAGCCTCCAGTATTACAATTTGTTGATTCCTGCATTTTACTGATTCTTCTCTATCGTTCTGCGTTGATATTTCCTGGTCTACTAAAAGGGGACTATCTTATATTGCGTAGGGCTTTGAAAGCTGTCAACAGGGTAAGTATTCTGTCTACCGCGCAACTGATTAACACTGTAGTCGACCGACATTTAGATATTGACAGGTAACAGGCTATAGTAGTTTTAACTGATACAGAGCATTCATTTTATCCCCAGCTTCCTGATAGTATCTCCTCAGGGAGGACAAGAAGAAATTACATAAGACTGTACACTCGTACAGCTAAATACAAGAATTTGACTGTGTTTCACCAAGTACACTTTTTATATCAGGAAAAATGCCGTAGAACAGAACTCACTTATCAACTTTGTAACTATTAATGTAAATTTTACATTATTCGAAATGTAGTCATGGATTATATAAATTTTTCTTCCTACTTAACATGCTGAAAATCTCAAATTGTTTCGAAAATTGTTTAGCATAAAGGGATTATTATTATTATCATTAAGATGGATCCCAGTCAACAACTTATACCTATTTATTTAACCTCACAGTCATTGCAAGAGATTTGGGAAACTCATTTATTTTGCTCAATTAGAAAGTATGAGCTTCAACCCAAGAGCTTATGAATAATACCTTTTCCCTGGTCAATGCATCTAATAAATCAACTTACACGGAATTACGCTCTGCCATAGTGCCCAAGTTTTACCGTCGAATATGCTTTACATTACTTTTGATCAATTTTCCTTAGTTAAGCATCACCAGTTAGCTTTCAGGAAAATATTGCTTATGGACGGCTAGCAAACTTCTGTGTTATTTTGAGACTAATCGGCCTGAAAAACCCTTTTTATTACGATTAACACGAATTCCTCTACGACTGGCGTAGTAGGATAGCAAGATGGATCACAGAAACTATTTCACTACGTATGAGCGAACATCTATCTCAAATGATTCATTTTTTTAAGTCAATGATTTATTTTATTCTTTTCAGTCGGTCAACTGCGTTGTGAATAAAATAGGTATGAAACTTTCTTGAAATATCGCGCGTCATCAGGATCCTATTTCATCTGGTTATTTCAATCGTTTTCCATAGACTTCAGTTCCTCTGTAGTAATTCTAAACAGGTAATAATCATGATTATTGTTTAAAATTAGGGAGTACCAGACAGTGGAACTTCAATGGATGCTGTCCGTAGCTGCTGAATTCAGCCATTCTAATGATTTCACTACATTATACTTCCATCAATGTAGTGTAAGCTGAATATTGTTCTCACAGCTTTTCAGTAGTTTTACTTTAAAAAATAATTTAAGGGTCAAGTTTTATTTCTATGAACAATGTTCTTACGGAACAGAAAGCAAAATAGCTATTCGTCTAGTTTTTCCTTCTAATCCTAATAAAATCGAGCCTTCGGTCCTCAGAGTCTGTTTTTGGATATTGCATTATGACTTATAAAACTAGTCTTAATATAGATGGTTATAGTTGCTTATCTTCCGCCTCTTTATGTAACTTGCTAGTGCATGAAGAACAAAGTAAGACAAATATATCCCCTTAGTATTGACCAAATAGCACTAACACTGTAATGGTAATTGTAAAAGATGGACATCTTTTTAGGATGTCAGGTGAGATTACCAAACTTGACACAGTATCATAAATAGAGTTCAGACACTGATTATTTCACTCATATTTTATAATAAATCAACGACAAGGCTCACATACCTGAAAAATGTTAAGATGAGTCAAAACTCTTTTATTGATTGACTTCATATAAAATATCAGTTTTCTAGTGAAGTCCGAATACTTGCGAATAGCTTTAATCGTGAACAGTACAGATTCATTACATTGACCATGATTTAATAGTGACTGCAGTTTCCTAATAGAAATCTTTGCATATTTCAACGTCTATCTCAATATTTTACAACCAATTAAATGAGAAATTCCTTATTCTTACAGTAAACTTTTTTCAGACAAACACTTGTAGGTAGTTAATCTAAAATATAATCATACTACTGACTAGATATTATCAATAAGAAATACTGGCAACTTGAAGCTTTCTGGATATCAGAAGAAAACACTTTATCTACAGAAAGTTAATTCACTTATCGAATGAAATATTAAATTGAGTTTTGTAGACTTGATCTTGGTAAGTAAATATAGTGAATAGTAATACAATAAAAAAAAGTCTCTGAATGGAAAATTCTTTGGAAAAAATTAGTTTCATTCAGAAGGAATTGCTCCGACAGTGTTTTAGTTTGAGTAAATTACTCATGCCTAAACTTAGTTTAACTATTTCGGTAACTAATCCAAAAAGGTTTGTGAGTTTAGACTTGTTAAAGTAGTGTAACACACGCAGGAATACCCAGTATCAAGCATATTGCTATGTAAGCTTGATGTGACACCCTGGATTCAAAGTACTACAATAACTGAAGAGATTTATTGAAATGACGCTTAAAGTTATTCATTTTACAACGTGTTTGAACAAAACAACGACTATTAACTTCATTCAGGCTACATAAAGCTTACATAGTAACATCTCAGATACCAGCAGTGAAATTTTCAGTTCATGTATGTTTTGCACAGCAAACTCTTTAAGACCTTAGGTAAGCTATTGTCTCTTTATACAGGAAATATATGCTTTACAGCAATGAACAATTTGGTTTCATAGAAAACCATACTGATTAAACGCCATAACATAATTATGTTTCATCTCTCGCAAAATTATCTCGCATAACATAAATATTCGGCAAAAAACTTTTTATTGACAATATTATTAAACATTAATCTGAAATTTATATCGAACCTACCTCATTTTTATTCTCTACAAGAACTTGATCATATTCATTCAGTGCAACCAAAAATATGATAGAAGTAACATTTTCAAAAGAATGAATCCATTTCCGTCTTTCTGATCTTTGACCACCCACGTCTACAATTCTACAATAAATTTGTCAATGAAAAGTTATAGGAAAATGAGGTATTCTGAAAGAAAAGCATTTACATGGTACTGAAGACCTAATCACAATCTGGTTATATCTTCATATTCTCAAAGCACTAGTTTGTCATATCTAGCTCTGAATAAGAAGTTAATGTTGGTTAGTTACACTTTGAAAATGAAATGGATGTATATGTCTCTGTTAGACTTGTTCGTTTAACATCTAATATGGGATTGAATCCTACCACAGTGCTCAAGTTTTACACCTATAGTCGCGTCTGTGGCACACACCACTATATATATGTAAAAATATTGTATTGATGCATAACCAGATGAATACTAAATTGATACTAGGGAAAATACATTTGTACACAACTTTGAACTACTACTGAAACTACTAGTGACAATTTTAGATCACAGATCATACCTCATGATCTTGACTAAGGTGTTTCTAGCTAGAAGCTTATTGACATCACAGTTGATCAATTGAAAAACTACTCAGCTACGAGAAATGTTATTGTGGGCTATGCGATTTGTAAATCATTTGCAAACTGATCATACAATAAATTTATCAACTCACAACAATTGTATTGTGACTGTTAAAATGAGTCTGAATCGAAGCAATAACAAAACACAGAACGGCGAGTCATCAGACCCTGTCCATCTGTATACTCTCATAATAAAAAAGCTTCGACTTTTATATGAAACAAGTAAAACATACAACACAACCATATGATAAGGTAAAGTCAGTGACTGTGTTATGTAGTTGTTAAGAATCATGTACTGAGGGTGAGAACGGAACTAAGTTTTTGATGGTTTGTAGAAAAAACTACTGAAATGATCATTAAGTGTATAGGTTTCAAAAAGTCACCGAATGATAAGGATTTCATCATGAGTGTGGAAATATTAATGAACAAATTAGCACGGAAAACCGTTGAGGTATCATACAATGTAGATTGCTTAAGTCTTTTATGATCCTTCAAAAAAACCACTGTTTAGCTATACATTAAAATAGTATTCGTAAATGAAAAACATGACTTTTAAAGAAGTGAATGTTTGATTTCATTGTTAACACATGGTTTTACTCAAATGGACAGACTTAGAGATCACAAATGTTTCTAACTGAACGCATATTCCCTAGGTACTTTAAGAAACACGTTCTTAGTTGTGGTATAAAAATTGATAAAGTAGATTTACGGATTATCCACTTCTGTTGGCAACAATGACATGCATATATTCAGCAGTGTCAAACTGACACCATAAAGAAGAGATATGTAATTGTAATCAATTGAGAGCTACTATTTGACAGAGTATTACTGAGTACCATTGAGATTTTTAGAGAGAAGAGAAGTTTAAACCTAATTATAACGGAAAATATTTTGGAAAAATTATACATCCAACTGTTGAGAAAAAATCGGTTTATATTCCTCTGGCCTTTAAGTGAGATATGATATCAGAACGAATAGATAGATGAATAAGACGTCCACTAAAACAGTATCACTTCAGCCAGCTTGATTTCATTTTACAACACCACAAATCGAGTTAGTCTGAAGTAGATAAATACTCTTATCATGTTACCTAAAGTTCCATTTACCAATTTAATTGTACTTGTGGAAGTAATACCTTGAAGGGACTGACAAAAGAGCGTCGATTCGGTTTTATTATCATTTCCCAAGAAATGTGTCTGAAAGGGAATAATGCTATCACATGTGCTATAACCAGACACCTGATGAGAAGTGGACACCTTTGGAGTTTTCAGAATAAGAGGTAAACAAAATTCACTAGATTAATGTGCTTAGTTCAAGTTATTGCAATCAGAGATGTTGAACACGACCCTTTCATACAAAAAGGGACTGTGAATACTCTTTATTTACCCCAGTTATTTCATGCTATTTTGGGTTATATCAAGTCTTGTTTTCTATTCACTGGAATTTGAAGATAGCTATTTTGATTTGTTTTTATGATTATTTATGTCCTTACTTACTTCCCCAATTGTTTAACAACTCCCCTCTCTTGTTCATTCGACAACATTTTTTATCGATTTGGAATTATCGATCTAATCATACGTAAACTACCACTTACCTTTAACAAGATATATAATTTTACATTGTATGCAGACGATGAATAAATATTGTATGCGATGAACTAACATAATGTTATTTCGTATTAGATTTATTCATTTAATTTATAGCATATAGTGATGCAGTATTATTTACCTGGTTACATTAAGAGCATAAATCATTGCTCATGATCACTTCAATGTAATCACACTACTTTCGACATCTGATTTGTATAGTCCTATCACCTCTTATTATTTATTTCTATTGGTAGTAAAATTTTCCATATCTTTGGCATAGGTGTTGCGTCATTCCTATTACATGTGTTGGGCGTTAATTCAATGAACAAAGATTACTCAGTAATCATCTGACTATCTGAGATAACTGTAGTTTGGCAGATTAGTATTCATACTGGCAGCTGTCCAAATTTTAATTTCACCTTCAATCATCACCCAGGATAAACATTCAGTAATTATCTCTCTCTCCACCTAATTATATTGGACTTACGTACAATGGTTTTTATCTCATCTTATATTGTGTGGTTGTATGTTAATACATTACAATAGCTGAGTGCTTTTCTAGATTGTTGCTCTTTTACTAATCTGTCATTTAATATTTAGCTAAATTCCTATGTTCCGCTATTCTAAATGATCCCAATCGGCTAGTTTGATATATGCACTTCACCTCACAGTTATTACATGGAGTCTGATAGATTAGATTATTTTGCTCAGTTGGTTCTGTCATATCCTTAATCCGACAAAGCTTATCTCTGAATGGGTTTTTGGTACTAATGCAACCCTAATTCCAGCCTCGTTGAGAATCCTGAGTACAGTTTCTGATTTACCTCCTTTATATGGGAACACAATAGAGGCTGTGGACTTCTACTGGTATTGTCTCTATTATTTGTATTCATATTACTGTCATCATTTTGTTTCCTGTGTTCGTACGGATTTCTTACTAGACGGTATGGGATATTTATTAATTATTAACACTTCTTTTGTGTGTTTCAAGTCGTTGTGAAAGTCTTTACAATGTCCAGTGAGTTTTTTAGCTCTGTCACTTAGATATTTGGGTAAACTTGCCTTGAATGATATTGACTAAGATGACCTGAAGTCTAGACATCTGTTAGAATGTGTCGGTTTCCTGTAGATAGTGGTTTGGATACTATGAACTATAAAAATCAGATAACGACTGGAGTGTGATTACACTGATATGATTATGAGCAGTAATTTTTACTCAAAACTTCATTAAGTAAATAATACTGTATCATTGTGCGGTATATTTCAAATAAACAAATCTAATATGGAGTTAGAAATCTACCACAGTGCCCAAATTTTACACTTGTATTAATCTTTTTATTCTGCAGATCTATCGGTTATTGTTTATTCTGAATTTAGATTTGAAGTTGCCTCTCAAGGAAGATCATCTACTTCTTCTTAGCATGCTGCCTGAATTTATGGCAACTTGAACTAATGCATTTCTGTACCATGTCTTATCTGGATTTATCTATCAATAAGATCTGTACAAGTTTTGAAAACTTACAAGAGAACATATTTTCCTGGCTGATGAAATGACGAAAACTCAAGGGCTTCAGTGAACAAATTTGTCTTTGACATTATCTCCCTCTATAGTTGTCTAATTGTCACATTTAAACATATTTAGTGGTCATAAAAATATCAGTATTTGTTAATAATAAATGTTATTGGTCTGCGTTTGAAAGTTACTGAAGAAATATGAAAGTAACTGACGATATCAGTAAGTTTGATATGAAACCAAGAAGTAATAAATTAGTAACAGAGTAAGTAGTCAGCTGTCAGATAGTAAGGGAATAGACAATTTACAAACACCTTATAGAATAGCTCAGTAAACGTCAACATAGATCAGTTAATGGCTTAGTTTAAAACACTTGACTGACAGCCGACACAGTTCTAGAAGATTTCTTTTTACTAAACTATAAAGCACAATGTAATTTTCCGAAGGGTTTGAGAAACTGTTGAGTTTGCATTTTTGAAACTCTAGCAGTACAACAATCGAAATCGAAATTATGTACCCATGAGCAACATTGTCATTTCATGTCCTTATTCACTCCTTAATTCCCAAGCTTTCTAACTCTTAGGCCTAACTTATCCTCTAGTTTTTGTATTGTTATTATGTAAAGGATTTTTGTTTAGCTGAGTTTTGCATTCCTCATTCCGTTACTCACTGACAACTGTCTAATCAATGTTATAGGACTTCATGATTTCAACTCATATTGTCAAATACCTTCCTCTTTCTTCTGTAATCCCCGTTTCTATATTGCTTTCATGGCCATAAACTACTAATAATTATTGGTCGACAAATACTGATATTTTTCTGCACACTAAATATATTTAAATGCTATTATACAACTGTGGAGAGTGTTGCTGCTGAAAACAATTTTTTCGCTAAGGTCTTCATTAGTATATGACTCATTTTGAATATTCAGATGTAAACTTTGCCTTCAAAAGTCATTTTTTGGCTTAGTTTGTATGTAGTATTCTGATTCTTTTATTCGACGATGTATTGTAAAAGGAAATCGGTAGGGACCATTCATTGTTTTTCTGTACAACATCATTAGCCCTAACTTCAGTGTGAAGTGAGCTGTGAGTACCTTTCCTTGAGTGATTCAAAAACGTGCCCTGACAAAGTGGTTTGTGATTAGTTCTTTCCTTCGGTTGTTGGGTCATTTCTTGTTGGCTGTTTGCCTGCTTGACCTCTGAACATTTCGATGCTTGTCACTCTTTTTATTTGTTTGTAGATTGGGTCTGTGTCTATACATCTAATGATTGCTGACTGACTGACTGACTGACCTGAATGCCAAGCTTCTAGGAATTTTCTGACATTCTTTGTGCTTCCTCAGTCCCAAATTTCTACATTGTCAAAATTGAACTCATGTCCATAGTTGTTATCTGTGTATATTCAAATGAGTGATGAAATGTCGTGACGCTGAATAACCAACTGATGTTCATATAAATGGAGGCAAAGAGGGTGACCACTTTGTCTAATGTAGTGTTGACCACAATTATCGCAGCTGATTTTGTAAATGGTATTTAGTTTGTCTTCTCCGTCTGTTGCATCCTTTGGTCTGTATACTATGGTCTGAAGGTTAATGGTTGGTATAACGGATGGGATAAGCATCTTATGCTAAAGTTTTGCTGGTAGCTGATCTTCTTTAGGAAAAACATTAAGTGATTTTCTTCGTTCCTCCGTGAAGTTGTTCTGGTGCATTCCTTTCTCACTCTTTCGAATCTTCATTAACGGAATTATATTGCAACCGGCAATCCTAACACTAAAAATGATACTTGTAATAAAAGGAATATCTTTGGCTCAGATGTCACTTATTCCTGTTTACTGAACGAAAGTGACACCCAAGTGACATCACAAATAAATACCAGTTTTATTAATTACAAATGGAACTTTTGGTATGGATAAAAGCAAAACCGACTGGCGCTGTCTTGTTTAGATTCGAAATAGTTTGTTGCATTCAATATAGGGCTACAGAAACAGATTCTACTAATCAGGCACTAATCTTTTTTTTTTCTGCTGTGTAGAGACTATTATATTCATACTGAGCATTCGGCCAATAGGAAAAAACCTTTTTTAAGATGTATGTAAATATGAACATACATTTTATTGTAACTTAATATTCCATCCAGTTATCTATGCGACTATTAGTAGTCAAGCAGCCAGTGCTTATGAATGCATTTTTCTGAAGTTATGAGCACCAATTTCAGACACCGTTTGTCAACAGCATTCTTTAAAATCTTCTCAGATATTTTTACCAGTCTGATATGCCAGAACTAGTTTTACTTTTTTCTTCTATAACACACTAAGACCATTAATATTTCTAAGGAATGTGAAAGAATTTTTACCATGAAAATTCACTAATTTAAATAATGCTGAGGGTTAGAAATATTTAGCTTATGTTTTCCAGCTGTCCATAGCTTTGACATTTACATAGAATGAACCAGAGACGAATATGGCAAGTTAAACTAACTACTGTACTTTTGCAGAATTACTCCGAAAAAAGAACTACTTGGAGGTTTTTGGGGATAAATCTAATGATTTCAAGTTGGTATTCATTGTGGACTGACACCAGTTGGAGAATCATTGAAACAAACGGGCGCTAAACAGTTATCTCATCCTAGCACAGTTTCCATCAGCACTACACATCCACAATCCCCGCAAGAATCAGACCAAGGACCATCAGATCTCGTAGTGAGCACATCATATTCAAGCCAGTAAAGTGAAATCCAACGGTAAACACTTTGCTACTTCTGTCAGTCCGTGATATAGCCTGATTATCAATCAATGAAGTTAACGATATGGGTGACTACAAAGGTCACAGCTTTTTATGTGAATTTCGGGAAATTCATCTCAAAGCAATTCACCAAAGAGCATTGGGTAATAATTCAATTCAGTTGAAACAGTTGTCCAATACTCTAAAGTTTTGAATGGCTCTCCAGTCGATATCAATGCAAGATGAATAGATAAAAGTAGTATGTTTGGTTTATTGAAACAAAACTATCGTAGTTTACCACTTATGTAATCAATGATTCACTGGATCCTTCATAAGTATACTTTATTGATGAATTTTCTCATTTGTGAATATACGAAACAAATTTACACTGGTTTTTAGGTAAACTTTAAGGGGAAAACATGCGATTTTGTAGGTTTAATCACTAACCACTAATATCTATTTCTTACAACCAATTCATACAAACTATACTGAGCTAACTTATTAGGACCTAAATGAACTCAGCATCAGATTGAATAACAGATATGCTTTGCGTTAAAAAAAATTTCTCAATAAAGGAATCTGTGAAAACTTCATTCATAAAATTGTTTTCCTGATACATCATTTTTATCGAGATTGTTACTGTAACTGAATCATTTATCTGAATACAATAAACCGTATACTTTTGAAGTTACAGCTTGTAAATCTCGGTCGCTAACTGAACCGAAATGATCAACCACCACTGGCAAATGGGCTCCTATGCAGATACTTTGGTATTACCAGTATTTACGGTTTTGATATTATTGATGGGTGAAGATTTACCAGCTATAGCATCAGAACTACATTATACCCGTTACACAGGAGGTGGCTATCGTAATTCAGTGGTCAAATGGATAGCGCAATGGCATTTGAAGCGACTGGTCCTATGTTCAAGTCATAGTGAGAACAACATTACTCACTGGGAGGCAGATACATTCAGTTGAGCAGTTCAACTTGGAAGAAATACACATGCTGAAGTCCACAGCTAGTCACTAGTCATCATTCATACCAAAACCGTAAACTTTTTGATCATAATTATACCTAGAAGTCATTTTTCTGCCTACGTTTTAGAACTCCACCTTTCGCTTATCACAATATACAAAAGTCATCTTAGCTCTTTTGCAAACTTTTCTTAGTTTATGATAATACTTTTTTTTGCCAAATTTTGGCCTACTGTCATTTATACATGAACATTCCAATGATTAGTTGGTGTTTATTGATACTTTCAAATTCTATTTGGTTATTGTATTTGATGAAAACTGACCGGTTCCCATTAAGTTGTAGATAAATCCAGCCAACGAGTCCTGAATGGGAGAAAACCTGCACTTTGAATCCCACTGCTAGTGGCTTTCATGTACGTTCCGCTATAATGAAACTTGAGGCAGTATTTAGATATCCGTGTCAGAATATCATCTGCCAGAGGAAACTGATTAGTTAGAACCAGTACGTTGGCTAACGATTAATTACATGTGTCAATATATTAACTGCTAAAACGCGATCCACAACAACTACCTCTTGTAACTCAGTATCTTGATGATATCCAGGGCAATAGGTACCAGGCTAGAGTCTCAGGGCGAACATAGTCACCACTAAAATGTAGATGTATTCATCTGACAAGTGTCAAACAAAATGTAAAGTGCATCCAAGGTTTTACTGCTGGATATAATCAAGAAATCACACTCAGAGGATGTATATCAGCATAAGATACAAGTTTTAGTGTTGACTTACGGCAGAAGACATTGAAAACTTTCATCAGTCTATGTCTTCAAGCGTCTTATAAGTTGAACGAAAATCAATAATAACAAAACACACTGACAAGCACTGATATGCAAACTAACCTGAATACAGTTGACTCCAAGTTAAAAGGATACTCGACTATACCAGTTGTTGGTACACGAACACGTAAAATATCTTGGAGATTAGGTAAATACTCTGGATCAGCAATTCTGTCAAAATTATCCAGGTAGCTGGAGTAAAGATTTAAGAAACATTTACTACTTACAAGCATTCAGTAGATCCAAAAAAGGTGACAGAACTAGGCAATTACTTTCCTCTATGTAGTATTTGGTTATTCAAATGTTTCGACTTGTAAAATCATAAAAAATAAACCAAAAATGCAGACACTTGATTGTACAGTTGCTCTTTTTGAAAGTAACGGCTAATGTACATTTCTTTATTGTACTCTTCTGTCATCATTCTCAGAAGAAACTTGAAACGTAAGTCCAACTTTGCTTGTGGATATGCCACTGTCAGATTTCTTACGAACCTTGATTGGGAACTAATGATATGCCATTAGTTTAACTTCATCAACCCATTCACGTCTCTCATTATTAGACAGGTCACGTAAGCCTTAAACTTTATATTTCGTAGATTTAAAGTTATTATCAGTTTGACTATCCTGCATGCTTTTATTATTCATACTGGGTAATGATTGAAGGTGAAATGAAAATCTGGTTCGCCGTAGGATTCAAACCAGTAAACTCTGGATTACAGGCTCTGTGCTCTACGATCTGACCTATGAGACCCAGCTGCTGGTCAAGTATTAACTTGCATTCAATCACTAACGGTCTTACCTGACTACCATGTGAATTCAAGATGCACCACTATCCATTCACAGTATTCCCATCAGCTGTCCAGCCAGGACTCCTCATTCTAATCCATATTAGACCAAATGAGAGAGGAGGGGCATTATATTGATCATCACTTTGACTATCTGAGATAGCTGTAGTTTGGCGATTGCTGACTGAAGTGAAATTAGAATGTGGTCAATAGCTGCGTTTCATAACTCAGGTGGTAGATGGGTCGCTAACTCGGAGGGTGCTGATTCGAATCCTGATGGGGTCCAGGTTTTCATTTCACCTTCAGTCACCACCCAGTATCATTAAAGTTATTGTGTTTGTCGATTATGCGCTTAAATAGACATTAAACCTTTTGGAATTCGATATTCTCCTCTTCCTAGGTTTTTTATATTGATATTAAAACTCATGTCTACAATTCTTCGTGTGTGTTAAAATCAAACAATCCATGAAACTTCCTAAACGCCTTTTCTCGTTTTTCGAAAATAAAGCGGAGAGATTGGTTGTTCAATACTATTATTATTATTATTATTGCTTGTCCCCTGGGTTCCTAGTGGAACGTAGAGCTTCAGTAGCACGTCTTCATCCCACTCTCTTCCCTCCAGTCATCTTAACCTGGCTCCACCACTGCTCACAACGTTTTCATTTCTTCCTCACACCATCTCCTCCATGTCACCCTCACCTAGGACGCCCAACTCGTCGTTTCCATGCGGGTTCCACTCGACAGCCTGTCCTGGCCTGACGCGTGATGTCCCCAAATAGTCTCCTCAGTGTATGCTCAATCCATCTCCACTTTCTTCTACTTCATATTTGTTGGGCGATGGGTTCTTGGTTGTTTTGTTGCCAGAGTCAGTTCTTTGTTGCTTATTCTTATTGTTCTGGCTATCTACCCGATCTTCAGTACCGAGTGAGCGTAGACGGCCAGTGTTGATATATGTCTGCAGTTTGCTTGAAATGCTTTTCGTGATGCGCCAAGTCTCTGAACCATATATAAGCACTGACTTGACATTAGTGTTGATTAGCACTTAGTAGTTATATGAATATTTTACTGTTTTAGTTTGTTCTACCAGGCAACTTTCTTTGGCGCCCACGTAAAATAGTTTAAGTATTTTGTTAGTTATGAAGAAACACTTATTCCATGAGGCTTTGGAAGCTTCCATTACCCCATTTTGTAGTATTTTGCCCATAAACAACTCTGATTTATCATGATTGTGTTATATAACGACTAAGTCTTACTTTTTCTTGATCAATAGTCTCTGTTCCTATTCTTCTACTGATATCAGTTATATGGTTCCTGATTATATTTTCGCTTGTATTTTTGTCTTCTGATGCGCTACTTGTATATAGATGTGATGATGAGAGATACGATGGCTTGAACTGTTGGACAGTAACGCTAGGTCTGATGTTCGTATTGACTGATACGCTGGTTGACAAGTGAATGGGATGTGCCTTCGTGTTAATCTTCTGATAGATACAGTAACTTAGCTTTCAAAAATGAGTGTAATTGCTGATATTTTACGATACCTTGAGTTGTGGTTATGACTATATCTTGATATCATGCTTTGTTCTGAATAAGAGATACTGTGTTAAATCCGTTGCAGGTTTTTGCCTCCTGCAGTTAGTGGCCTTGACTAAATTTTATCGAAAGGGATCTTATTGTCTTACGTTTAATAACTTTTTCCCATTTTTGGCTCCTGCTATTGTTTGTGACGAAGCATATCTTAGGAAGTTTTCCTGCTAAATTAAATGAGCTAAATATCGTTTCGAGTGCCACTGGAGAGGATTCATCATCATTCTTTAGTTTTTTTATCGTTTTTACATAAAGTTGATTAACAGACTGTATTCAATCCTGATCCATGGGAATGGTCATTAAAGCAGCTCAATGGAGAAAGATAGCTATTTCTTAGCAATGACTAGCCTCATTTTGAAATTCACTTACCATGCAATGAGAATGATCACTTCACACTCCATATGCTGTTAAATCTGTTGGTAGTAGTGTTGAATAACGACACTAAAATCAGTTGGACAGGTAACAGTCATAATCAAGCGTTTACTGTCAGATAGCCTTAGCAGAGCACAGATTGTGAAATAATTGCACTTCTTGAAAACCTTTTGATCCGACTTCGTAGACAGTCATAAAGCATCATTCTGGTAAATCTCGATGACTGAAAATAACCAGCTATCCAACTAAGTAACCCCTTACTGATTTACACTTAACTCTAGACAATCAAACTGAATAATACTGTAAAAAGCATTTGAAAACGGTATGCTTTTTACTCCCAATGGAACTAGTTTCAAAGTTTCATGTAAACTTATCGATGCATACTAAGGTGGGCAAAATTGGGAACTTACTCTTGACGTACTCACGTAACAGGTATTAGCTAAGGAAGACAGTTCTTGGTCCGTCAGAAGAAAAACCTTTCTTAGAAGTCTGAGGAGTTGGTTCTTCGGAATTTTTGATACTGCGTCACATTTAAGGACTACCTTCATTTTCTTCGGAATTTAAAAGTCATTCGGCTCTTTGTTTGGCTTCAAGTTTTCACTGACCAATCTACGATAGTGATCATTTTGAGCGAGCTATTTTTGGAGTTTTTCTGGTTTACCATTAATCGTGTCTTCTGTACAGATATATCTCACTCTTGGGGACAATGAATCAAGTCACTTACTGTGGTAGTAATATTATTACACCTAGGAAGGAATTTTAGCCAACTCCATTCTCATTATCAGTATGCGCGCACTTCGTAGTTTGTTACTCGTTTGTTTCGGAAGCACTTAACAATAATTTGCTTGGTGATGGTTAGCGGTGAGACCCAGGATACCCATTTCGTCCTGTTTAGGACCTATCAGCTGGGTGTGCATGTGCCTTATAGAACGAGACTCGAACCCAGCACCCACCGCTCCAAACACCATGGCTCTACCCACTAGGCCACTGAGGCACGGGTAAATTGCAACATAATGAACAATCAGGGAAATCGAGCCTCCTCATAGGAACCCGTATGCCAACAAAAGGTTGGTCAATTGGATCAAGAATAACAACAAGAAATTACAGGTAACGACAAATAGTATTGGTCTCGGCGACTAGCAAAGGAATCCAGGACTCGCGTTTCGTTCTTTTTGGGACCATCAGCTGGATGTACCTACACTCCAGTGAGTGTTGTTCCCACTGGAGCTCGAACCCAGTATCCTTCGCTTTAAACGCCTTGTTAAAAATATTTTTCACCTTTCTGTATCCATTACAAAATTCATAAAACCTACAGTTATTTCTTTCAACTAAGATTTCCGTTAGTAAGTGTACCAGCGGTTGACTTTCAGTAGCTATTTAAATACTCTACCTTGTCATATTTCATTACCTCTTTATGGAGTGCATCTGAAATAACTTAACGTTTTGTACTAATTAGTTTCAGTACAAATTTAAGAAAAAGTGATATTTATTATTGGTACTGGGTGGTGATCGAAGGCGAAATGAAAATTTGAACCGCAGCTGGATTCTAACCACTGACCGCCAGGTACTGTCCATATCCAGCATGTTGCTATGTAAGCTAAATATTGCCTGACACTATGAATCAGTTTTTGACTGGGGATTACAATCCGAGCTGGGTGGAAAAGAACGACTTCTTCAATCCTGTGAACAGTCGTTTCTTCAGCATCTTTGATAATGTATCTCCTTTGAATCCGATATTTATAAGCAATATCTTCTTTGACACCATACACCCTTCTTCTTTGAAATTCGTAGGTCTCATTCTCCTCTCAATGAATCTTGAAAGATAACCATTCTGGATTAACACTCTTAGAAGTACTTTCAGCTCCTCAGTTTCTCCATCATCCATAAAAATTCTGTAAACCGATCTCTTGAGGGGAACACCACGTCTTCTTCTCAAGAACATCCAAGAAGTGGAATTCTGAGTTATTTTCAGTTGCCATAGTAAATTTAATTGACTTATAACATTCATTGAACTTTCATAGTATTTCCTCAAGGTCAGTACCCTGCTCGCAGATGATGAAAGTGTCATCCATATATCTCTTACAAAGATGGAATTGATCGATCAACGGAAAAAGTTTACTGTTCTCTAGACTGCCCATGAAACAAACAGCTAAGAAAGGATTGGATGGTGAACGCATTGTTACTCTATCCGTTTATTGACAAAGTTCATCATTTAATCTAAACTGTATACTAAAGGTACATCGTAAAAGCACTTCTTTTAGATAATGTTTAGAAATCCTAATTTCAAGCTTGTTCATCTTAATATAATCACACAGAAAGCAGATTGTTTTCATCAATGAGACATTGTGAAGAGCGATGTGATGTCCAATGATAACATACGCTAACCACACATGGTGACATCTATGTAGTTAACGCACACAAAGAAGTTAGGAGTACTGTAATTAGTGGTCTGATTCTTTACTGGCTGAAGGATTTCAGTTAACCATTTAGCACTTTTATGGTATGGTGAATTGTTCGTATCAACAATTGGACGAAGACGAATATCTTTCTCATGAACTTTGCAAAGACCGTATTGTTTAGGAATCACTAAACCAGATTACTTAGTTGTTCAAACAGCTTTGCACTGATGATCAATTCGTCTTTCATCCTCTTCAAAATTTATGTCAGTTTTTGTTCTCTTGGCTCTGTCACATCTTTCTGAAACTGCTCTTTCGAGAATTTACTTTCATCTCCTAGTATAGATGACAGTTTATCAATGTAATTTTTGCGATTCATCCAAACTATTCTAGAGGCCTTGTCGGGAAGAACCAAAATAGTTCTTTGTTCTTCACAAGTTCGTTTTGCTAGGTTTTGCTTTCTTTAAGCAATAGTCTCTTAATATTTGGTTTCGCTTTCATATAATAAAGGCAGCAGTTCAAAATAGTAGATTTAAACTACTCTAGACTCTTGTTGGAGGTTGGAATCAAATAGTTTGTCTGTTTCACTAAACTTTCAAACTGAACCTTGGTGTCAAGGTCCCTTAGAGAAGTAGAAATATCACGAAACTTAGGGCCTTATGAAAGTGTTTACATTTGTACTACCGATAAAGACATATTAGAATATCAGGTTTATATTGATCATGGATTGACATCAGTTGGAGAGCCATTGGAAACCTCCCAACACTGGACAGCTGTCTCGTCCCAGTATGGGACTCCTCAACTGTGCGCACCCATGATCCCAATGGGAATCGAATCAGAAATATTCAGGTTCTGTGGCTAGAACCTTACCATCTAACCACTCGATCGAAACTCAACGGTCCAACTTCCTACTTCTGTCAGTTCACGATATAGTGTGACCTCCATCCATTGCCGTCGTTGGGTAGCTGTCCTCACATTCGACTTGGTTGACTCTGTTGGTCACGACATCTCATTGGAATTTCAGGAAGCAACTCTTAAATCCAGCCAATAATAATGAGCTGTCTGAGGAACCTGGGTTCGATACCTATTGGAGTCATGGGTGCGCACTGCTGAGGAGTTCCAAACTAGGATGGGACAGCTGTTCAGTGCTTCTACTTTTCCTATGTTTCTCCAACTGATCTCAGTCCATGATGAATGCAAAACCTGATATCAATCAATCTCCACAAATCTCAAAAGTGACTATATTAGAATAGTTAAACAAATATCCCGCAACATTCCCAATACCGTTAGTGGATACAAACTACAAGCTAATGAGTGAAAATTGTTTGTAAGGTTGATTGTGCAAATGACAATAATATATTACAGACAAGAATATTTATTAACAATCAAAGTTTTGGTTTGAATAAACTTTACGATATGATATTTAAGAAACTTTGAAAGCTTACTATTTGGACGAGTCAGTTAGTTGAAACTCTCGTCTACGTTCATAGCATTGTTTCATTCCTGGATCAGCCCATAACTTGTGTATAGCCTCTATTTGTTCAGATGACAGTGTAGTTGCACTTTCTGGATCAACTTCCTGGATAAGTCGCATGTTCTCCTAGTCTCAAGAAAACGTTAGCACAATTAGATTTTAGGCATGCATATAACTCACTATGTGATTAATATTACTTCAAATCAATAAATTTCTACCAACGATCTACTGATCGATAACACAATGCTAACTGATGGTTTTCTTCGAGGTAGGCTTAGAAAAGTTTTAGTAAGAAACTAAGCCGTGTTTGGTTCACCTCGTCGAGAGTAATGAGGAAAACTCGCCGATTTCATTGGACATGGTAGCGGCATACAGCGAATTGAGAGAAGTAGAAAAATGTGGACTATTAGGATCCACTCAAGTACCAAAAGAATAATGAGCTCTTTGCGAGAGCAAAGAGTTCTAGCTTCGATCTCTAGCAGATACTTTGGTGTATACAGCCGTGAGTCTCATATGGAATCGAAACAACTATCCGGCACTTCCATGTTTCCAATTCTCTCAAAGCCGCCAATAATCCATGATAAGCACTAATTCTGATTACTTATATAAATGCGTTTACCATAGCACTAGTAAAAAGCAACGATATGAACGAAGAATATTCTTCCGGTAAATTCCTATCAAGTTCTACTTTATAAAATGCATTTGCTCAGCGTAAAGTCAAGCCAAGTTAGGGGCAAGTACATTTTCTAAATGAAATGAGATTTACAAAACGTAAGTAAATCGATTCGGATGACATATATACAAATGGTTAATGAGATGGAGGAAAGACAAACGAATAAAAAGACAAGAGAGGCCGATGATTTACTGATGCCCAAGAGAGAAATAACGTTTGAACATGGTCTTTTCGAATGCACAGTTCAGGTGTGAACAACCTTATGGTGACAGCCTCAACTATGTTGAGCAGGCGTTAGCGAGCTATACCTGGTATCGCTTATGGAATAAGATGTATTAAATTGGAAGTTTTATTAGCATCTACAGGATGCCCTGTGTCTACTAGGTGCGCTGATTTGGAACTCTTCACCAATTTCCCCTCTCGCTTTCCGAACCAAACCACTCAGTGCTCTCGTATCTGCAGATGCACCAGCCTAATCATACGCCCTATGTAACTTGTTCCACGGGAACAGTTAAATTAATAAATGCGAGATAAAAAGCTAAGATTAGCTAAGCTGTCCTTTAGTCTCAGATTGGACGTTGGCCAACTACAGAAGGATATGCAAAGCCGACCTGCATAAAGCAACCTACTAGCTGCTTTAGCTAGACATTTTGAAAGGATATTACTTGAATTCCAAATGCAGAGACAAAGGTCTCTTCTCCACTATCATCATTTCTCGTTTAGGACCAATGTAATTGGTGTTTGCTTTGATAAACTTATCCGGATATTCTTAAAATATCACGGACACAAAGTAGTTCTTCTCCCACACACTCCTTAGAACAAAACGAACTTACTTAAAATACCAGGCAACTGCTTATATTACGTTTGTACTTCATCAGCATGAAGCTGAATAGGTTGTGTATGCTGTGCCTTAGACGTCGGCTTTATATATATACTCAGCATAGAGCCATCTTCTTTTCTTGCCGTTAGTACATCAAAAAATGTATAGAATCACTGATTTCCTCTTCATATATAAAATGAACTGTTGAAATGCATAGACACTTACCAAAGACTAAAACGTATCATGTATATATCGACAGTACAACTCCGTATTGGCAGTTTTATTATTCAGAGAACCAATTTCCAATTTTTCCAGGAATATGTCTACAAATATTGGGCTGAATGGCGATTCCATTGTCACTCTATCAACTTGTCTGTGCAAATTATTGCTGAAGATGAACTAAACATTCACTATGCACTTAAGCATTGATTTAAATCTTTCCAACTCTGAACTAGATGATGCAACCAAATGGACTGTTTATGTGAATAGATTCTCAAACTGTACATCTGCATTTATTTGGTCAGTCCCCTTGCTAGTGTCGCAGAATGTAGTTCCTCGAGATAAGACTTCCACTTGTAATCGAGAATAATACTAGGACAATTATGAACGTACTTCTCTGGATTTACCGGAAACTTGCATTGCAGAATTTGACCACCTAAACTCCTCAACAGTAATATTTGTTTCTTAGTAGACTTGGATTGTGCAATTCGATTCACATATTCAGTAAATTGCAATCTTAAGTCTTCTGGTAGATCGAGCACTGTATAATTCCTTTGCGATATGTCTAACTCCTATTCAGTTATATGCCACCGAGGTGATTAAATGTAACCGGAAGCCTGAGCACTTTTATCCGTATTCTGTAACAAATATCACCAGTCAGTAGTAAATCGTCAATCAATAGTTCGTTTTATGTCTGCCCTTCATCTGTCTCTTCGAACTGTCTGGATAAAACACTAGGTTTAGAATAATCATTCAGCAACAAACGTATCACTTCTCAGTTTGGTATTCAACTGTTAAATGAACGCTGTAACTACATTCCTGTTTTCCAATATCATGATGCATAAGAAATAATGAAAAAAAACCAACTCAGAAAGATTGGATAAGAACTGTAGTACTTCTTTATCGAATATCTATATCAGAAGAAATAAGGCATATCCTTAAGAGTTATAACATCAGATTATTCTTTAAGGTGATGAATGCTTTACACTCACACCTGTTCAAATCAAAAGACCAGTCCTTGCTTTGGAACAACAGAGCTGTATTTATGAAGTAGACTGTAGTGAATGCGATGCCACATACATTGGAGAGATATCAAGTCAAGTACTAACACTTCTAACCAAACGCCAACCAAAAAACTTCAATGATCTAAAAACCCTGAAACAGTCTCTGCCATCGTGGACCGTTGCAGAAGTTTTTCATATCTGCCCGTACTCTTCTGTGGACAACGAGAAAAATGGATTAGACATCTACAAATATGACAGAAATTGGTGACTCGTATAGACAGAATCAAATAATATACAAAAGAAGGTAGAACACAACTTTACTTCATGCTGTCCCCACATGATTTATTCCTAGTGTATTCTTATTTGAATAGTTTCTGATATTACTTCGCTTAATCGTCTTAATCTTTTCAAAAATATTGGTTTTGAACTAGCAAAAGAACTGGACAATTAGAGTAGTTCGAGACCACTCTGCCTGACCTGTAGTATTTTGCTAGCCAGATCACAGTGACGTAAATATCAGACGACCATTTCTCTTGTTTAGGGCAGAACTCATTAGCAGTGTGCCCAGACAAATTTGGTTCATACAACCAAATCACTTCAGATCACGTGAATCTTACCAACTGAGTAGCATGGATCGTTGTAACCTAACGTAGGATGATCAACTTGTGAGTGATTTACAAATTACTGTGAGAAATGTCAACATGGACCGTGAAATTTGTAAATCATTAGCAAATTGGTCATTTAGTACTGGTCTTCTTTTAACAACTTGTCTAATCCTATTACACAATACTGTACTGATTTACTGTTTTTATTGCTTTTACGCTCCTCTCTGAGTTATATACATTCTATGGACCAATCTATATACTGCATAATCCATTTGGTTGTCATTCATACTTCAACTATCATGGTAAGTATAAGTACCTTTATCGTTATCATTATTATTGTTACTATTGATATTATTGTCAACATTACTTATTATTATACACTGTTTGACCTTTAGAGAGACTTTAAAGGCCACCCTAACAACAACCAAAACAACCAATCAGGCTTCTTCATTTTGGCTGAAAAACAGATTTCATAAAATAAAGAAGCCTAATTGGTTATTCCAGTTGTTACTAGGGTGGTTTTAAAGTCACTCTTGAAGTTGCCCTATACCCAAATGCTCATTCTTCCAAAATATTAACTCATTTTTTCTCCCCCACCCTCCAGTGTCTCACAACCCCCTCCATAGTTGAAGTAAATTTCCCCACTTTATTTTTGTTCCACCTTACTTCCACAACTGAAAAAAGCCTTTCTGATCGTCTGTTAACTCACTCACGTACACTATACTAATTTTTTTCCATATCACAGTGTAATTGGATGAGCATAAAAATCACCTGTACCAAACGTAAATATTAGCCTGAAAAGTTAATGTCAAATTCCTGCTCTTGATAAGGACCTTCCTAGCAAGAAGAATGATACATAGTATTTTTTTATTTGTTCCGACATACTTCGCCGGGAAAACACAAATAAAATACACTTCATACGGCGAATCATTCTAACTCGGTGGTCCAGTTTTTCCGAAATATTCAGTCCATTGCTAGTTAGAATACGTTCAAACAGAGTATTATATAATGACAATATAGTACACTTTTATCCCTTTTACGATAAACAAACTGGATGATATACCAGTAATTTCTAGCATACACTTCATTCAAGTAAATGAAAATGAACCTACCTGATTCTCAGAATTCTGTAATTCAATTGAAAGTAGACTCAAAGCATCAAACATTGTATGCATGGCTAGAAAAATATTCTGATAGATTAAACTTATGAAAGCACGTTTATCAGCATCTGTATAACCACTTCCATGTATAATTCTCATTTGTTTTACAAATGTACTTTTACCAGATTCTCCAGTGCCTAAAAAATGGTAATTGATTTTACGGGTTTTTTAAAACATTTATAGTGCTTGAAAATATTCTTCAGTGGCTACATATCGTTCAATAAAGGCCCATGTAAAAAAAACAACCAAATAGAACTCACAAGATATGATTTTTCCTGACAATTTTGGTGTTTTACAAGAATTCTTTCAGCGAAAAAGTCAGTTGGCCAAGTTGCAGAAAAGTAGAACAGAACTGTTATTTTTTTGACTACTAAAGTATGATCACTGAAACTTGCCAAATGGTTAAGACCATACTTTACTGCTTAAACCTTACAGTGAAATACTTCTTGATTGTAATACAATAAAAAATGTCTCCCATGGATAAAAAGAATAAAAGACGAATTTTGGCCCAGGATATTGAATGTTATTCTGTAAAAGGAAACTGTTCTACTTACTTATACTCTGTGGAGTTACATAAAGTGTGATTTGAATTGAAAATCTACTTCGAGATCAGTTTGACAATACTACTAAGATAATTGAAAGTGTAAACTATTTGTCCCTGAGACATACTACCGACTGTGTACTTGTAATTCAAAAAGGTGACTCATATTGATATAACTTTCTATTCGAAATGTAACCCGACTTATTGCTAGGCATTAATTATTGTTAAAGGTAATATTCAGCAAAAACTGATATTATTTGGTGAACTGTTGAAAAACTGCGACCACTGGACAGCTGTTTCTACTTAGTATAGGACTCAGCTGTGAACACACACACAATCCCACCAGGGATCAAGTTTTAAAACCCTCAGGTTCACGGCGAACGCATTAACGATTTAGCCTCTCTAATGGAGTTCAGTAGTGCACAGTTTCCTACCTCTGTCAGTTTTCTATATAACATGATTGTTTACCAAGATCTTCAGTTGGCATCCAATTCACTTCTGACTGGTTGACCCCAAGTTTTCACTTAACGCATATACATCATCTTGACTAAGTTTAGAAAGTAAGAAACTCTATTCAACCTTGAACATATCTCCGTTTGGTTTTGTTCATGGCAAAACCATATGACATTTATTTAATCTACAATCTTAATTACTCTAATGCGATTTAATTAGAAATTTATTTTCCTTTGTCTGAATTCCATTTCGTTTGGTATGTCGGAAGATATGAATTCCTGATAAGCCAAATATGCTAAGATAAAATATATTATACTTCTATCGGTTTACTTTTTATATTTGTGCGGACGTATGTGAATAAACATCGCTTTCATGCATTTAACCCCTTTAATAAACTTGAATAACGCAATGGGAACACCATTTTCAGAATAAAATGTTTCATTTCATAAAGTTTTCGTCAGCTGCATACAAACTGAGTAAATCAGTAAACAAACAGTGTAACTAATATTAAGATACCGGTTAGTGCTTAAAAGATGAGGAAAGTATTACAATTCAGAAAACTTCGGATTATTTCTAACCTCACTGATTCCTGAACACTCCTCATATTGCCTTATATGACATTTATCTAGTTTGATTGAATTTATCATCTAAACCTCTCTTATTTTCTGAATTGTAATAATTCATTGGTATTTAAAACATTGTCCGGTATCTTAAAACACTCCATATAAGGCATGTTAATATTTGATACATTGATTATCTACTTATTTATTCAGTTTGTATGCAGCTGATGAGTACCTGTGAGACAAGATGATATCCTCTTATAGTGTCCGTGGGATTTTTCACAAGATTTTCATTTCTGTTAATACTTATATAGAATATCATAATTATCAAATATTCATCATTTCTCTGATCACTAACTATACTTTAATTCCTAAAATAATGGGAATCAATTTAAAGACCTACATATCAATTGACAGAGTATCACAGATGTTTTATCACCACTGAAAGGAAGAAGTAGACCTTAAGAGTAAAGCCGATAAAATTTGAAGTACGTTGAAAGAACTTTAAACGAGTTTATACTGGGTGATGATTGAAGGTGAAATGAAAATTTGGACCACGACTGGATTCCAACCAGCCACTGCCGGGTTTCTGGTCCCATTCTCTACCAACTGATCTATGATGTCCAACTGCTAACCACATCTTAATTTCACTTCAATCATCCAGACGGGTTTTGCCCGATTACCATATAAATTCGTTGTGATGCGTTACTACCGCTTGATCGTATCCACATTGACTACCTGGTCAGGACTTCTAATCACAGTCCAAATGTAACTAAATTAGAGAGGGGAAGCATCATACTGATTATCATTTGACTATCTGAAATAGCTGAACTGTCAAACTAGGGCTATTTTAGATAGTTAAATGATTTTGAACAGTTAATTTCCAAGATAAATTTACTACAGTTTTCCAACACACATTTTAAGATACAAAATGATTTTGTGTCGAACATCATATTATCACTTTCTTACTGCATAGATAACTAAAACTCAGTTAAGGTATCTGGTAAATTTTGTCAGACAAAAAGATGTTCACACTTTCGAACGTTATTTCAACTATGTTTTCAAAACTTGATAATGATTTCCGTTAGTTATATCAGTTTCATGCCCTTGTAGATGGTAAATTATCCATTATTGTATGCATGAAACACTACCTGATTTCTACATCTCATATATGAAGAACTGAATAAATGTGATGGTAGCCAGTTTTTTTAGTCGAATTAAGAAATGCCTTTGCTACTAAAGTTACGAAAAACATATAGGAGCCTAAGTTTTACAGATGTATGGAATGCAAAGTTAGTATATGCATAAATCAGCTGTTTGTTAACTTTCAATCGTCATTTTAATGACACTTGCATGTCACCGTTCACTTTAAGTGAATCAACAACAGGTGATTGCAAGTGATAACATAATAATTACACCTGGTCCTGGGTTCTAGCCATGGCAGGAACAAAAACACTCACCTGGAGGCAAGTACATCCGGCTGACAAGTATAATCGATTTTCCTGCCGGCCACTATCTATCGCTTCTGTCAACCTATGTTTACCACACACGACTTACTAACAAGTAAACAGCTGAATCACAGCAAACTGGATTTACTGATATCAATAGGAATGATATCACTGCATAAAGTTATTCAAAGTCTTTAAGTTACAAATGAGTTGAGTCCAGTAGACGCATACCAATTTAGAAGTATGAGCCCTCATACTTAAGCACTTAAGGCAGCCATATAAACATAACAATCTATTTGAGTAATAATAAGTCCTTTTATATTACGAGTGATACGAAAATTTACACTAATTTTTATAAAAGCATATTACCAAGTAGTAATAATTTCACTTCTTTCCTCCCAGCACTTTTGTCTTTATGTAACTGACGTTCAATTTCTCGACTGATTCTTTGTTGTTCTCTAGCTTCCTCTGATAAACAACACGACATTTGATAATTAAATGAAAAATTATATCTCGTCAAAATACTAGCTGGTTATCAGGATATATATATATATATATATATATATATATATATATATATATATATACTTCTCAGATTATTTCAGCCCATTGGAGGAAAGAAAACGATAGTTAATCCATGCTCCATTCATGTTCACTTTAGTTCAGCACACCCAAAAACTAAGATTTTATTCATGCATTAACATCAGTAAGGTGAGGAAAGCGAAGGATTATTGTAATATTAATTTAGTCTCACTTACCTAGGCAGCATCGTCTCAACTACAGGTGGCGGCACAGACACAGATGAGGAAGTCGAAACCTGGATCGGAAAATCAGGATAGGCTTTCATTAACCTGAAATCAGAGTGGAGATCTACTGCACTCCACTGCACTCAGCATAAAGTATCAACAACATCCGGATTTTCAACACTAATTCGGTCAGGTAAGTCAGTGATTTTATGTGATGGTTGAGAGACTCGCCGGCTCGTTACGAAAAGTATTTTCAACAAACTACACACATTCATCACATCAACAGCTGCCGCCTACGCTCACTCAATACTGACACTTAAGATCAGATAGACGGTCAGAATAATAAGAATAAGCAACAAGGAACTCACTCTGGCAACGAATCAACCAAGAATTCATCCCCTAACAAATATGCAGTAGGAGAAAGTGGAGATGGATTCAAATCGGGCATACACTGAGAAGACCATTTGAAGAAATCACGCTTCAGGCCGAATCCTGGAGTAGGACCCGCATAGAAAACGATGAATTGGGCTTTCCAGATGAGGATGACATGGAGGAGATTGTGTGAGGAAGAAATGAAAGCTTGTGGGTAGTGGTGGAGCCAGGTTGGAAAGACTGGAGAGAAGATAGTGGGATGGTGACGTGTTACTGAAGCCCTATATTCCACTAAGAATCCAAGGGACAAATAATAATAATCTACCCAAAATATGGTATGCTTTTTCGTTGGACCAATAGTATTATAAATAGTCAAGCATTAAAATATAAAGTCAGTTCGAGACACAGCACTGTTTCACTTCTTGTTACAGAAGAATAACTGTGGTGCAATCTCAAACAATTAATTGTGGTGTTAATGTAGACAAAATGAATGTTGATTTTAGAAGCAGATTCACTGAGGGAAACTATCCATCTAAATAAATTAATCTAGTAAATTAGTTGTTTTCTTTGTGTTTTTACATCTCAAGTGATTATAAAGGCCAACCTAACAACTATTGAAGTAACCAATAAGAGTTTTGTATTTAATGAAGAAACGAACTTATTAGTCAAAATAGAGCAACCTGATTGGTTATTACAATTGTGGTTAGGGTGTCATTTAAAGTTACTCCCCTGTTTCAGTCAGATGATTGAATTGTAAAGCTTTCATTGACATTTTAAGCAACTTTTGAAGTACGATAACCAAAAGCATTCACTGAGATGAAACAATTGTGTTAAAAAGAATATGATTATATACCCCGATGAAAAAACCAGCTGCTTGTTTCAGCATAAATCTTAGTGTTGAATAACTCAGTGATTACAGTGTAACCATCTCAAAAAAGTAAACTTATCACATTTATGGAAAGTGTACAATAAAAGAAACTGGACTCACTACTGAAAGTAGAATAAATAACAAAACTAAAGAGATGGTATGTAAAGTACATGGATCCACTTCCACTTTAGTCTATGTTCATGGAAAAATATAAAAACCAGATAAGTTACTCTAATTGTCTTTTTCAGTCCCAGAAGTGAAGGTCATTTATTCATCTAAATACTTATGGTAAATAATTCCACGAATTTAGCTAAATAAAACTATTTTTGAGAAATTCTGCCCGGAGGTTTGTGGAGACTTATTAATTGATTTCAGGTTGGTGTTTATCATGGGCCGATATCAGCTAGAGAACCATCAGAAAGCTGTTCCATCCTAGAAGCGTACACCCGTCACCCCACCAAGCCTCGAACCCGGGACCTCCAGGTTCCGTGGCCGACACTTTACCACTTAACCACTTGGTCGGGATCCGATGGTCCAATTTCCTACTTCTGTCAGTTCACGATGCTGCGTGACCTCCATCCAATGTCGTCGTTGAGTAACTGTCCTTATGTTCAACTTGGTTGACTCCACTGTTTATGACTTCTCATTGGAAGTTCAGGAATCATCTCTCGAAGCTAGTCACCAATGAGTACTAGATTAATTCTACTTGAAGGTTTGTGGAGGTTTATCGATTGATTTGAGGTTGGAATTGATCATGGAAAAATTTAATTTTCAATGCCTCCCTTCCCAAAATATTCACTTGTTTTATTTCGAATTAAATGAAATTAATGATTTCCTTATACAGATGACAACTTTGTAACTACCTTGAGGAAAGAAAGTAAGTGCACCTACAACTTGAGGAAACCCGTGTTCGAAAACGTTAACTAAATAAGTTAAGAAAACGGTAACAAAAACTTATCCTTCTGAACGTATCAATCACCGGAGATGATGGTGAAGTCGATTAGTAAAGAAGTATATAATCATTCTTCTCCTTATATCAAGAATATAATAGAAACCACTAGAACTTCATTGCAACTTTCGGTGCAGATATGTCTCACACATTCACTAAATCCCTACAAACCTGCTTGGCAGGGTATTTGATTTGGATGCAAAAAGCAAAAACTGAGTCTCTTTTTCAGATAACTATCTGAAATATAGATATCACTATGTCAAACACTCTGCTGATCCTTAATTCGAAGTATCTGCTAACATTATTCACGGTAAATGTCATAATATAAATTCACTGATCATCATCAACACTATCATCATCTATCAACATAGGACTAGGCATTACTGTGTAACGGTCTGAGTTGCCACAGCTCATATCAGTACACCAAGTAAAAAGTCAGTGAAGCGGAAGATGAAGATAAGAAAATTCAGTCAAAAGAAATATAAAGCACTCGGAGAAGAAAGGAAGAATGGGAAAATGATGAGATTCGGTGTAGCGTCGTTAAGATGAGGATAATGTTATGTAGACATCTGCGCCACTGACATCGGTTCTCAGCCATGTGATCACCTAGAGTCTCCAACCACTGGTTCCTCTTGTCCCGTGGACCTCAACCGCCTAGTCTGCATCGCCCCTTATGTCTCAGACCAACAGTCAGAGACTTCATACATTGATGCCATGTTTTAGTCTGGCCACCTTGGGCTTTTTACCAGCCTGAACCTACTCCGGCCAACATTGTGTGACGAGGCAGTCGGCGGCTAGGCATACGTAACACATGTCCCAACCAGCCATCTCAATCGATGAAGGTTCACAACCTCGTCAACTGATTTACCTCTTCTCCCTAAAACTCTACATCTGACGTTTGCGTTACTCACGTGGTGACACCACGGAGTACGGCGGCCTATACTACGAAGGCAACGGTGGTCAAACACCTGAAGCCAGCCTTCTTATGTACTCCACCTTCGATGGCCATGTTTCACAGCCATAGAGTAGAAGAGAGTGGACTGCTGGGCAGTACACGCGACCCTTAATAGACACTCGGATATCACGGCGGCGCCACAGGTGGCGTAGGTTGGCGAAAGCCAGTCGAGCATTTTGTATCCGTGCAGAGATTTCATCGTCCACTGAGCCACCAGGGTAGGGCTGATCCTACTTCCCAGGTGAGTGAAGTGGTCGACACACTCAATCACTACACTCTCTATTGTTAGCCATGGTCGTGCACCGTTGAAGACCAATCGTGGAGCAACAATTTGCATTTGGGTGGTGAGAAACGCATCCCAAACATTCTCAAATTGCCACTCAAAGTGTTCAGAAGACTCTGCATTTTGTCAGCGTCTTCGCCTAACAGGGCAATGTCATCTAGGTCTAACAAAAATTCTCCTACGATTAGGTCAACGTCTGTGTAATCAGGTGACGAGAGGAGAACCTCCGTAAGAATATATATGATGAAATTGAATGAGAATGGAGACAGTGGGTAGTCTTGACGGACACCACTCAACGAGTGCAACTCCCTGGATATCTTACCATAGGCTCTAACATGCCCATAAGTGTTCGAGTAGAGAGCATTCAATAAGGTGATGTACTTACTCGGTAGGCCTTTCAGTGAGAGACATTACCATAAGACTTCTCGATCGGTGGAGTCGAATATCACCTTCGGGTCGAGATGAATTCACTGGGAATGTCACAGGTAATTTCAGTTAACAGACATATAAACTTAAATACAATATACGAACAGTGATGGTTGTATTCACACGTACACAACTTCTAAACATATACTTAGACTTACTGATAATTTCTGGCGAATCACTTTATGAAGCAACTGTATCATGGTCTCCTTGAACGGACGACTTGAAGTAATAACAAATATCAACTACACATGAAGTGGCTGTCATCCCTTAGTAACGTGCTAGATGACGCCTGTGCATCGGAGGTGAATGCCCCACGCTTTAGTAGTATGCCAACATGGATTCATCTACACCCATATATATAGAGCCATTAGGCTAATGTATACTTAGACGGACTGTTTGTGTTCATTTAATCTAAGTGAATAAAGCAAAATTTTCGAAAGTCTTGTCACACTCCTACAATATACCAATAATTGCTTGTGCATTAATATCCTGCTTTGGCTTCACAATATAAGGACGAAGGATTTCCGTTGAGTCATAAAGTAGATAATCCAACGATGAAAATTTCCTCTGGAGGTTTTTGGGGATATACTGAATGATTTTAGGTTGGAGTTCATCATGAAATGACATAAGTTGGAAGAACATTAGACAGCTGTTTCGTCCTAGTATGGGACTCCTTAGCAGTGCACACATATGAAAATATCATACATTAAAACTGATTAATCCTGTCAGTAAGTACAAAAATAAATGATTATCTACGAACAATTAATACTGTCATCATAATTTTTAAGAGCTGAATTAAAAAATTAATTCTGAAGGCATCTGCAATTAATATGAAATGAACTGTTTTGTTACTGGGATCTCGAATTCTTTGAGTTTCTGGCCACTAGT